TGGGGTAGCCACTCCATTTGTAAGGTAAATGCCTAGGTGTCAATCCATAAAAATATCCATAGAATTCCAAAGTAGACATAGAGGCACTCGGGTCTTGCAGCAGGGATAATTGTAAATTATTTTAGCCTTGGTGACAGAATAATTACAATTTTAATAAAGACAGGCGGCGAGTATTTGCTTATCTTACTTTACTGACGCCAACAGCAGAAAATAAATAGTTAACAAAACTAACCATTCAGGTAAAGTGCAACAAATGCCTGATGCCACAGAACAAGTAAGGAACTTGAAACTGAAGAACCGAACAACTCAAGCAACCATCGTGAACCTCAGAACAACAGCAAAGAAAACCCTCTAGGCAGCCGGGGAGAAATTAAGCTGAAAGAAAAGGAGAGACATGACAGCATTCCTGTATATAACAAACACATACATGTCACATAGCCATAAAATTACCAACAATGCATGGCTGAATAACAGAACAGACAAAATAAACCCCAAGACACGAAGAAGCAACCAACCAACCCTAACCCAGGAGGGTGGGAGGGAAATACTCATCTCTTGTCTTTATTAAAATTCTAATTATTCTGTCATCAGGGCTAGAATAATTTACAATTTTAAGGCAGAAGGCTCATATTTGCAATTTCAACACACTAAAACAAGAGCCATGGCTGCAAATGACAGAGGTCGGAAATAAAATGAACGGTAGGTTGTACCATGTGACCAGTCCACTGCCCGTAGGATGTTGGCAAAGCTACCACCCACCATGAAAGCTTGGGAAGCGGCAGCACACCGAACAGAGTGAGCCCAGAAGAAAGGGTCAACCCCACAAGAGTCAAGATCCACCAGACCCACGTAGCCAAAGCGAGAGGTGACACAGTCCTAAATGGCCGAACCTACGAAATAACGAGTTGAGGAGAACTCCCTGACCACACAGAAGAGGGGGGGGCCAAGTCGACACGTAGACAAACCACAACACAAAGCTATGGGTCGTCTATCAGGTATGGGTAGGATACGGTGGAAGAGAGCGTCCTAGTATGCCTATAAATGGAAAAGGAGACCGCATCCGGAGTAAAAGAGACTGACGTAACCTCAAAAGCTCAAACATCAGAAACGCAGCGAAAAGACAAAACAAAATGGTAAGCTTCCCGGAGAGTTGCCTCAAGGACAAATCCTCATTATCTGGCCAGCTTTGGAGAAAAATGTCATACCTTGGTAATGAATGACGAAATCACTGCACTCCTGGGTTCCAAGAATGTCAGACCTTGTTTATTGACATCCAATCAGGTCTCACAATATGGCAACGTTACGGAATGAACAACGGTTCCTTCTTCAGGTAAACAAAGTGACATTCTTGGAACCCAGGAGTGCTAGTGATTTCTTCATTCATTACTGATTTGTTTGCGGCTCCATCTGCGGTCACTTCAGCACCCACTTACAGCTTTTTGACTGCTTACCAGTTAGGAGTGCGATGGGTTATGGAATGAATCTAATACCTTGGACTCGTCCTACAAAGCCTCATACTTGGGAATTGGAGGCCCAGTGAGATGGATACCCCTGAGCAAACAGCAGACCAGAGGATTCTGACCAACAGGCACGCCTGCCATGGGATCATGACAACAGGAAATCGCATTATTGGACCTGTAGGAATTCTTCTGAGAACCAGTTCAGCCAGATAATTCAAAATCCCATCTACAGAGGCCATCAAGGGATCAACCTCCCATTCCAGACACCAAGAACGGCACTGTCACCAAGCTGACTCATATGACTTCCGAGTTCCCGATGCCCAGGAATGCTGGAGAAGGCTGAAAGCGAGTGACACTGCCCCGCCGATCACCGAAGTGACTACGGGAACTGTGACAACAATAGAGGATCTCAAACAGACAATTCCAGGAGAGACGGAAACAACGGCTGAGTGTTTCAGCAAGGGGTGACCAGGAAAATCGTGACCCTCTGATGAAGGACCACCTGGATGACCCGAGAAATCAAGTTGAACATAGGAAATGCATAGGCTTCCTGAGCCGGCCACTGCTGAAGAAACACGTCTGTCCCCAGAACATCCAGATCCAGTAGCCAGCTGAAAAATTACATTGTCTGCGTGTTGGTCCTGAAAGCAAAGATATCGAGAGCAATTGGACACAACGACTCACCTGAGTCCGAAACACCTCTACATCCAGTTGCCAATCTCTGGCATCCCTCCAGTTCCTGGTAAACCAATCTGCCAGGTTTTCTTCACCTGGGAGGTATCCTGTCTGAAGCTAAATCTGACAATTTAGAAATATTTGTATAATTCCTTCATGAGCTCCATTAGTCTCTTCGAACACATGCCCCCTAACCGGTTGAGACATTGTCCATCCTCAAGAGCAGACAGGAGTTGGTTTTGTCCTTGGCTAGACTGCGAATAGCAAAGGATCCAGCAATCAACTCCAGGCAGCTGAAATACAAGTCTCTCTCTTCTGGAGACCAAGTGCCTCCAGTGACCTCCATAGCGAATGCAGCCCCCAGCCCAACAGGCTCACATTGGATTCCAGAATTAAATCCAGCTGCATCTTAAAAATGGCCCTGCTAGTCCAAGCATCCATGTGGAGTAACCACCATTGGAGCTCCTGGTTGGTCCTGTAATGCAGTGGCCCATGGAAAAATGGCCTGAAGTGAAGAAGAAAGCGGCCGACCATACGAGCCAACAGGCGAAGTTGGAAAGTGCCCAAATGCAGGGAGTCTGCGAATCTCCCTCTTTATGACTAAGATCTTTGAAGACAGAAGCCGAAGAGTCGAATAATTGGAGTCGATTTCAAACCCAGGGAAATGAATGACCTTGGCATGAACCAGGGCTGACTTCGAATGATTGATGACGAAAACCAAGCACCTGCAGTGACCTCACCACCAGATACGTGTGTTCGCAAAGGGTTTGCCTGTCCTGAGAAAGATAATGAGGTCGTCCAGGTAAATGATAGACCGGAAACACTGAGCCCAGAAGGATGGCACCACAGGATTCAGCTGCTTGGTGAAGCACCAAGGGGCTGAACCTAACCCTGACCTCAAGCAGGTGAATTGCCAACACTCTTCTCCCCAAAGGAATTGGAGGTATTAACAGTGATCCTGGTGCATGGGAACCATGAGGTATGTATCCTGCAAGTCCAGACAGGTAAACCAGTCTCCTTTGCGCAAGAGGTCTCTCAGCAAATGCATTCCCTCCATTTTGAAGCTGATAGTAAGCAACAAGGGAATTGAGGGACCACAGGTTGATCACAGGATGGAACTCCCCAGATTTCATCCACACCAAAAAAATGGTGCTGAGAAAACCAGAGGGGAAGTGTGCCCACTGAATTGCACCTTTGAGAAACAGAGACAGACACTCCATGTCGATCAGTGTGACATCCAGTTGTGATCTGGGCGTCTGACAAGGAGGGAGGAAAAAATCGATCAGGTAACCTGTAACCATCTAAAGAACCTATGGATCTGAGGTTATATGCTCCTAGATGTGAGCAAACAAGGCCAATTGGCCCGCCACCTTTAATGCAAAAGAAGGGTATGAAAAAACCTGGCTTACCTGCCGCTGTGCATCCCCTGGGGACACCTCAGACTCCGCTACCTCAGCGGTTGTTGGTTACATGTTGGTGGAAGGAAGTTCTGCAATAAATGGAGGTCTGTGGCTGAGGTCTAAAGGTTTGATAGGAAGATTGCCTGGCAACCCAACTCCGCGGTTGACCGGCTCTGGAGGAAAAACAAGGCTGTGCTTGAAAAGCATTCTGGATGTTAGTCGAGCCTTATTGTAAGAGGAATACACCGCCACATATTTGTTGAGCTCCTTAATGAAGGGTTCACCAAACAAAAGGCCCTCAGCTGCAGGACCCAAATTCTTCTTGCCCAATTCCACCAGATGGGCATCCAGGCGTAACAGGGCCACCTTCCTGCATTCAGTTGAGATGGCTACATTCACGTTGCCCATAATGTAAACCACTCGTAAGGCCTAATCCTTGATGATCTGCAGGCAGCATGGAGGGAAGACAGTAAAACAATATGTAGAGGAAGCAGTGAGATACAGTCCCGATCCAGGGAGGACACACAGAGCAGAACACAAGGCACAGGCACTAAGATGTAGTTTTACAATCACTGGCGGAACTACCAGGGTCGCAGCGATCACGACCGGGCCCTGGCGTTCCGCCTGTTGGGGGGGCCCCAGAGAGTAAGAAGAGGGGTCGCACACAATCATCCTGCTATGCCCGAGCATAGCCTGGGGCACTAGCCTGCCCGATGCTATGCATCAGCCTGCAGACCGAAGCTTGTCCGAGCAGGGCAGTGAGATGGAGGGGTCATCGGCGCCAGTGCCGAAGCTGGGGGGAGCAGGGGGGAGCATGTGACATGGCCGCATCAGGAGGGGTGGCGGGGGAAATTTTATATTATTGCCTGGCTGCCGGCTCCCTTCCCCTCTCCCCCCGCCGCTCTGCAGGCACTGCCAGGGCCAGCTCTGCACCTGAGGGCCCCAGGAAGGAGGGGTCTAGGAGCGGTGTCAGGCAGAGGGGAAGAGAGAGGACCGACCTGGACACGGAGGATGGGTGAGCTGTCAGTAGCCCTAACCCTGCACTCTATCACCTGAGACCCTGCAGAGCCCTGTTGAGACCGCCCGTATGCCTGTGAGACCGCCGCAGCCCTGGTGAGACCTCCCGTATCCCTGGTGAGACCTCCACAGCCCTCGTGAGACCGCCCACAGCCCTACTGGAGAGACCGCCCGTGTCCCTGGTGAGACCGCCCGTGTCCCTGGTGAGACCGCCGCAGCCTTGCTGAGACGTCCCGCAGCCTTGCTGAGACGTCCCGTATCCCTGCTGAGACCACCCGTATCCCTGGTGAGACCGCTCACACCCCCATATTAACCACCATGGGAAAGAGCTGCTGAGTGTCTGCCTACTGGGAGCTATAGTCCCGGGAGGCAATATCGGCACCTTGGGGGTTAACGGGCCCCCCCAAGTAGTGGAACGCCAGGGCCCAGTTGCAACTGCGACTCTGGCATTTCCACCACTTGGGGGTGCCCGGACAGGAGGAAGAAGGCCCTGTTAACCACCTCAGCTCCCAGCATGCAGCAGGCCAACTCTCCGCAGCTCCTTCCCATGGCGGTGGGGGGTTGGGGGGGCCCTTCATGGTTTCTTGCACTGAGGCCCTGAAGTTTCTAGTTACGCCTCTGGTTACAATCATACAATCACAGTGCACTAAGTGATAACGCAGCGGGTCCCACAGGCAGGACAACACTGCAGAGCACCTGGGGAACAGAAAGCCAAGGAGTGGGAAGGGGAAGAGGGGGAAGAAAGCATAAAGTAAAAAAGAAAACATTATATATGACAAACTGTATATATATATAGATATATCTATATATATATATATATAGAGACATATATATATATATCTATATATCTATATATGGATATATAGGTATATAGATATATATATATGTACTGTGACATGGGGACCAGTGTAATAGAGATTTTAAAGATAAAAAGCAATGCATACCTAGAGTGACTCTCCTGTAATAAATTGTCACAGTGTGTTATGTAACTGTACAAAGGCTTGCAGCTTAAACAGTTGCATGTCAGACAAAAATGTGTAGCAATGCTAGACACGTTCAATCGCAAGTGTGATTGGGACCTGAGAGAGAGAGAGTGTGCATGTGAGACTAACTGATTAGTATCTAGTTATGTAAAATAATTTTATACTGTTTTGGATTTTGAGCAGACAAAATTGATAAACTCGACCTGTGCAGTGTGGGAACTTATAATTCGAGTTGCCCAGTTCCATGTGAAGAGACCGACTACCCCGCCACTCTCTCCTACTCCACATTTCCCAGTGACAGAGCTGCAGATTTCCTATCCAACAAGCTGAGTAGAAATATAACATACATAAGGTAAATGCACCTTTTGTGCAAAGTAGAATTCTTGTGTTGTTAACACGGTGCACATAGTAAATGTATTCTTATTGATTCCAGAAAATATCTGAACTCAGGTTTTCTAAGGCTTTCATTTTATTGTCTGCAAACAGCGGAAGCCAAAGTTACCAGTCAAACAAGTTAATGTCTGAAACATTGTTCTATCACTAAGTGCTTAACTGACATAAATCATGCAGACTGAATGAGAAGGATCAGCTGCCATTTTCCAAATGAGCTTCCTATTGATTTCAAATGTGTAATCACAGAAGAAAGCTTTGCGCTGTTATTTTATAGATAAGAAAATGGGCCATCCACAAAGCAAGGAAGCATCATTAATGTATTATATACATAGGGCCATTAATGAGCAGAGGCTTCAGTCATAAATACAATATTTATTTGTGATTGTATTCCCATTTGTTCCAGTGTTGTCCACCTGTGTCCTTTAGATTAATAGATAGATAGATAGATAGATAGATAGATAGATAGATAGATAGATAGATAGATAGATAGATAGATAGATAAAAGAGTTACAGAGGGATTTGGTTCCAAATGAGGGATCGTTGGGAGGTATGCAGATTGGCTTCTATGATGTTGAGGTCAGTGACTGAAAGAAGTCATCTGGATGGTGTAGAGACGAGGTGGGCATGGAAGATGTCCCTGTTCTTACAGACTGGTCTGCCCAAAAGAAGATTGTAGTGGAGTTGGAGATTCTGGCATAATCCTTATCCACTCTTTTATCATCTCACCATCTTTTGTGCAGCCTGGCTGATAGGAATCAGTGGCATCACAAGGGGTGTTCGGCCCACACCGAGTGACACCATCGGAGGGGGGCACACAGTCATTTTGGTGTCACCTCCTCTGATAATTCAGGCTCTCGGTCCATGTTACAGGAGAGTGGAGGGGACCCGCCGGCATAACTTGTCCCCTCCTCTCTTTGCCGGTGTCCATCACCTAGATAGCCGATGGCAGGTAAGCTTGCGTGGCGTCACCATGTGCGTGCGTGATGACGTCACGTGTGTGCAATAATGTCATGCGCATGCAGGATGACATCCCAGAGGGGTGTCATCCGGTGGCTGCTCCGGGTGACACCAGGCGTGGCGACGCCCCTGGTAAGAACAGTGACATTTTCTAATGTTGGTCACTTGCTCTGTTTTGCAATACATAGAAGCCCTATTCAAAAAATAATTAGGGGAAATATATCCTTTGAGAATCCAGTAAAGTGAAAAATGCAGAACCCAAATGACCCCTTTTCCAAAAGTAGACACCCTAAGGTGATCTAATTTTCCCCACAATTTTTTTAGAAATGAACAATGCCAGTATCGCGGGGGCTAAAACATGGAGCTGGATTTCAAATTACAGGTCATACACAGAGAAAGGAGGAAGTGAAGGGGTTAATGTACAGGCAACATACAGTGGGAGGATGGAGATGAAGGAGTAATGTACAGATGTGCAGGATAAGGAAGGTGAAGGGTTATTATACAGGTCACATGAGAGAGCTGACATATTCAGAAGATGCATAAATGGGCACTGGTACTGGGTGACATTGTTTCTGGTACTGGGCCTGGTACTGGGTGACTGGTACTTATTTAGCATAGTCTTCCAGTACCAGATGGCTGCCAGTGATGCATCCAGCAAGTACAAGGTACAGAGGCACTTCCATAGGCTCTCTACCCCCTTTTTGTGATCTGTACTGTCCATTGGATAGTGCTGTCACTGTACTGTGCTCGAGTGCACGCCAGAGGGCACGTATAAGCACAGAAAAAAAGTTGTTTTAAAACATCATCCCGCCCATGGAGGGGTGCTGTCCGCCTGTTTAGTTGAACAGGGAAGTGGAATGGGCCAGCTGCAAATATAGTACATTATAATTGTAACCTAAACATTTTTATGCGTCATGCACAATGCTTTATGTACAAATGAAAACTGAAAGAGCCAACACTCTTTCATACCTCTGTTGTTTAACTTTTGTTTGCACAATTTGTACTGTTGTAGTAATAATGTTAATATGTAAACAAACACAATTCCCACAATGTCATTGCACTTAGTGCTGTCTTGTTAAATTATAGCTCAAGATAGATGACAGTGTACATTGTTTTTATATTTCAAATGTATATGTTTCCAGGAATAACTTGGTGTATATTGACATTAAGTACAATGAATTGAACTACAAAATAAGCAAGCAGCAAAAAGCTATGACTTCAAGTGCACTGCTATGTGAGTATTGGTTTTGTATTAATACTGGGAATAATTATAATCTGTTTGTTACGTTATTTCAGTTCCAAAGTGCTTTTGTGATCTAATCAACATGGAGAAAATGTTTGTGTTTGTGTTTTTTAAAATGTTTTAAAATTGTTGTAGAAGTCTATGCTCACAGCCTGTTTTATTTCATATGTAACGAAAGATTAGATATGGGAAAATAAGTAGCCTTATTATCAGTTTCCTTATCACAGGGCATCTTTTCAGTGGATTGCATACTTCATGCAACAAGGCCAAGGCTACTTGTAATTAGCTATGTTCTATATAAATGTGCCTCTGGGCCAGCACCATTGGTCATTGCACCACACCTCTAATTATAATAAAAATACAACTAAAAATTTACGGTGCTATAGTGATAAATGATTAAAACACATGAGGTAGGGATGGTGCTCTACAGGTTCTCAGATGGAATGATCTGCTTCAACAAGAGATGTGCTGAACTTATATGAAATAGTTGCTGAACCATCCATCCTACAGACGAGGGGCCCAAGACCAACCCTCATAATAAAGAAAGGGAAAAGAGGAATTAAAAGGAGGTATCCAGGACTATCAAGGGGAAGCTAACTTCTGTTCCCCCCTTTGTGTGTCAGGGTTCCAGGTTTTTGCCAGCATACAGATATTAGTCTTCTGCTAGTCTTAAGCTGGTCATACACCTATAGATTTTTTTCTATCAGTCTATGGTCAGATGGAAAAAGTGCAACAGATTCCTCCATTTAAGCTAAACAGTGTGAATGGAGGAATCTCCCGCAATGTTGATAATTTTTTTTAAAAGGTATATTTTATTAGTTTTCTTATTGAAAAGTACAACACAGTCCATGCACAATCAGATAATGATATATACAGAAGCTTTATAAATAACTATAATAGTAAAAATATTATTATTAATAATAATAAGAAGAAGAAGAAGAAGAAGGAGTTTGTTGCACACATGGACCTCAACATAAGCAAAAGAGATGTCAGCAATGTTGAATTCTGATATGGACCGGCTTTTTCTAATTATGTCACGTTTTGAAAATGTAAGTGTAAACAAGAATACTGTATATATACAAGGAATTTATATAGGAATGTCTCATATGGACAGACTCCATACTCAATAAATCTATATATTTTGCTTGGATACCTTCTTTTAATTTCCTCCTTGCCTTCCTTTTGAGCAAGGTGCTGGCTTGGTCCCCTTTCTTTATGGTGCATTGTTCAGCATCTAGTGGGGGTGCCAAAACATTTATACACATTTTAACAGATGTTATCTATGTATTACTTTTCAAAGTTCAATTCAATTACGGTAGCAATGTGTAGTATGACATTCACTCAATAGATGCCGTTAATCAAATGAATGCTAGCGTCACTATGTGAGAGACAGGACAGTCAATGTAAATGGCAGAAGCACGGTTGTTGTTCGAGGAGCACAAGACCATTTTGAAGTGGTATTTGAAATTCAAGAACATGTACAATGACAATGAAGGCATGAGTATGCAACAGAAGCTCCAACATGCCTAACAATTGCACGCATTAATGATAAGTTTGAGACGCATGGTACTGTGTGTGATGTTGTGCAGTGATACAAGTGGGCACTGTGGTCAACGTTGCTCAAGCAGTAGTTCACCGTAATCAGAAGTGTCTGGATGCTGATGGCAACCACTTTGAGCACCTCTTGTAATTGCAGAAGGCCAACATCACTTGTATTCATCTTTGGTTATCGGTATATATATTAAGTATTGCAATTTTAATACAGTTTTTCCTTTCTTAAAATGTGTATACATCTTTTGGCACCCTCTATATTTTAGATATGTTTGCCACATCTCTTGATGAAGCAGATCATTTGACCTGAGAAATTCATAGAACACTACCCCTACCCCATCACTTAATCATTATTGGAACATGTAGCATGCTCATTGGTGGGGTGTTGAGGGTAACATATGTGGTAGTAGCCATTGTTGCAGCTGAAAGATACATTCCTGGATACATGTCAGTCCCATTGTATGTGTATTTGTATGTTACTTGTAATAATAAAATACATTGTTTTTAGAAGTTGATGTGTTCCTGAAAGTTATCACTATAGCACCTGAAATGTCCTAGTTTCAGTATCTAGTTGTACTGCAATTAGTTATGTTGTAAGAAGATACTTTGTAGTGTCTTTTAGGAAAAAAGATCAACTACCACACACTATATATTAATACTAGCTATGAATATAATATAGTTTGTATAATAAAAGGGAATACCGTTAAAGCAGAAATATAGTCCACTTTATGTACATCCACTCCAATGCTGCCATCTCCATGAGCACACTCGTCACTGCTGATATCTTAACCTCTATCTTCTTTTGGGTTTGGTGTCTTGATTGGCCAGCCCGTGAACACATAACTCCTGTGCATGTGCGGCTCAGTTTACAATCTTTAGGAATTTGCTAGCAGACAGGTGAGATGCTTTTATTACACAAAAATCATACAGAGTTCTATTTAATATAATAAAAGGGAACAGAAATTTCAAATCAGTATCAAGTATGAGTACCGCTATTTATATTTCATTACTCGCCGGTACCGAGTACCAAGACCGTATTTCCACTAGCATGGAGCCTCACCGACACCGGTACTTCTGCTAGCATGGAGCCAACTTCCCAGGCAATCAGGAAACTGGGCGGTGTATCATTACCGCCGCATGGCTTCTTGATTGCCCGGGAAGCTGGCTTCATGCTGTTTGGCCGGATCGATACTGATTGGTCAATCATCATAGAGCCAGCTTCCCGGCCAATCAGGAAGCCGGGCGGTGGGTAATGACTGTTTGGCCTCCCAGCCAATCAGCATCAAAACGGCTTTCCGGCCAATCAGTAAGCCTGGAGGTGCGCCGCCCAGCTTCCTGAATGGCTGGGAAGCCGGCTCTATTCTGTTTGGTCGGCTTAATTCTGATTCAATCAGCATTGAGCCAGCCAAACAGCATGAAGCTGGATTTCCGGCCAAATCTTTCTTTTTTAGCAGCTTTCTGTCTGTGTAAAATACAATGTATGTGTCAGCCAGCCCACTGTTCTGTGGTGAGAACATATTTACAAGCTCCCAGCACAGTAAGTGTTCTATCACCGACAGCTTCCGTTCACTGTTTACGATCAGGAGCTGGTGGGATGGGCTCTCGATCATGTGACTGCTGTGACCGCCTACCCTACCTCCACCTCCTGTCATTCAAAACCCTTTAAAGGGATGGCAGGAACCGGCGCCAAGTGGTTCAACTGCAAAATCTCTTCACGTTAGCAAAATTATTATCAAGCAATAGGTTCCCCTAATTCAATCATCAGTTGAAAAAGCCTAGTTGTTTTGCATATCATGCTTCTCCTATCTAATATCATATTCATTATATCTACTTTTTGTTAGCTGATGTGGGTGGACAGCTTGGTCTGTTTTGTGGAGCAAGCATGGTTACCGTTATCGAAGTTCTCGAGTTTGTGGTAACCAATTTCTTCTGGGCCTGCGCATTCCTTCTGCTGAAAGTACCCAACATGTCCCAGTGGACAGACAGACAATCAAGATACAAACAAGACATACCGGATTGCTAAAGAGGAATTTATTTAATGGTTTATCATTTTCCTCAATGTTGTTTCATACCAGTCCTGTTCTAGTGTGTAAGTGGAAATAGGATGGCACACATTTGTGCAGCTGTCATTGCTTATTAAAGGTGCCAGATGTGAGGATTGTCATTTTAATCCTTCACTACCAACTGAGTCATCAAAAAAAGCATGTAACCAATAAATGTCTGAATAATCCAAAACAAACGTGTATGCTGGTTCCCAGCTTGTGACTCTCTAGTAAGCCTCGATCAGTACAAAGCCACATAGCCTGTTCATTTTAAAACAAGCCAACAATTACAGGCCCAGTCAAATCTGCATCCTCTAGAACAGTGGTTCTCAACCTATGTAACCTCAGGACCCACATTTCTCCTTGGTCATGAAGTCGCAACCCAAGTTGCACCGCAATGGAACGCACGGCATTGCGGTACCACTTATTCCAGTGCAGGCAATTGAACTATGGGCGCGAGGTGCGTTTTGGGGTGCCATTCAAATGAATGGCAACGCAATCCACCTCCCATACCAGAACGCGTAGTAGGTGCGATTGCGTGGTACAGTGCCATAATCGCACGGAACTGTTCCGTTAACGCACTGTACTAGTGTCAATGGGCCCTCAAAAACACTGACACACAACCACACACACAATCTCACATACTCAAACATTCTCACACACACATACACACACAAAAAAAAAAGTACAATTATTTATTTTAAAGGTTCTCCCATTCTCCCTACCTTGCAAGAACTGGCGTGGATCTTCAGCTTGGGGTCCAGTGTGGGCTGCTGTCCTGTGATGGAGCACCATCCATATGTGCATTGCTTGTACAACTCCCTTGTAGAGGTGCCGGGAGCCACAATGTGATGTCATTCCGGTCCAGGCCAGGCACCTCTACAGGACATGTGAGAGAGCTGTAAGCAATGCATGTATGTCTGTATGGATGAAGCTCCCTTGCGGCCAAAGCCCCCCGCACCCCACCTCAAGCCATCACTTTATACGTATTATTTTTCCAGTTGGATGAAACATTAATAATAATCATAATGATAATAGTGATCAGTTCTTCAGAACTTACAGTAGAATTCTGTATGTTTTGTTTGTTGCTATTCTGAGTGGTGCCATACTTACCATCTGGTCATATTATGCACTTTCTTTATGAAATTGCGACTTATGCAATTCATGATTACTGAAAGAAGTTAATACTGCATTCTAAGATTGTAACATTTGGCTATAAGTGTTTAATCGGTGTACAATAAAATCTATTTTTGCTTATTTCAATAATACCCTGACAAGTCTCTGCGCTATATGAAATGTGATTGTAGTTATTATTATTATTATTATTATACAGGATTTATACAGCACCAACAGTTTGCACAGCACTTTACAATATAAGGGAGACATTACAATCACAATACAATTCAAGACAAGATGGTAAGGAGGGCCCTGCCCGTGAGGGCTTACAATCTAAAAGGGAGTGGCAAGTGATACATTAGGAGGTAGCTGTGTGGGGATGAATTGTTTGAGAAAGTGATAGTTCAGTGGGGTTAGGTCGAGGTGGGATAGGCTTCCCTGAAGAGATGAGTCTTAAGGGATCGCCTGAAGGCAGTAAGAGTGGGAGATAGAAGGACAGGTTGGGGTAGAGAGTTCCATAGGATGCGAGAGACTCTAGTGAAGTCCTGGAGGCGAGCATGGGAGGAGTTGACGAGGGAGATGTAGCCTGGGGCTGAGTTGTGAATGGATTTCTAAGTGGTTGTTAATATTTTTTATTTTATCCTATTGGGCTATTGGAAGCCAGTGTAGGGATTGGCAGAGGGTGGTTGCAGACACTGAGTGCTTGGTTAGGTGAATGAGTCTAGCAGCTGCATTCATGATAGACTGATGGGGGATAGCCTGTGTAGAGGTAGGCCAAGGAGGAGGGAGTTGCAATAGTCGAGACGAGATATAACAAGGGAGTGGATGAGTACTTTTGCGGTTTCTTTGGTGAGGAAGGGGCGTACAGTCAAGGATTAGGGCAGGCAGGAATCAGTTTCCATTACCCAGCAAGTAGAAACAAGGCACTAGGTACAGGAGCCAGGAGGAATCTTAATACTGTCACAAGCCCTGAGGGTTAGGCACATGAGGATTAAATAAGATGCCTCCAGTTCCAGGGACTAATCCCAGAACTTGGGGGGGGCATCTGACCAGAGCCGTTGCCCCACAGATGACAAAGTCCTGGAAAGGTGCAGAATGGCAGCAAGTAACTGCTGGGAGGAGCTTGAATACTGTACCATGTTGCCGAGCAACTGGGACGCTAGCCAAGGAAGCAGAGAAGGGCTGCATTTGATTCTAAAGTGTTGATAAGGTATTGTCTGTCTCAAAAGGTCCCGCTATAAAAACAAGTCTTGCAAGGAATGTGGGACAGTTCTGAAATGGCATTAGTGGGCCCAGACTTGAGAGGATATTGCGTTGGCAGAGACAGTGTTTTTTTTTTTTTCTAACGCAGCCACATTCTGATTAGAAAAGCTTGTTCCCTGCCAGCAGCTGTAGAGTGGAACTCTTGCTTCCTGTAAAATACTTAGATTTACATTTGATTTGGCTTAATAGGAATTAAAGAATGGGCCCATACACATTATATATATAATTTTTTTTTAAACAGACCTCGTGCTTATGAATGCATGACTTTGAAACAGATAGGTTTGTCCTTGAAATCTGAAGCTATGTTAGAATTTGAGAGAACTGTAAGAGTTAGCAGCTGTTCAAACATGTCAAAAGAAGGCTATCTGTATTTTAAGATAGGTTTGTAGAAAGACATTAGAAATCTTGATGACTTAAGTAGTTTTGGTCAAGCCATATAAAGTATAGAAGTCGTGACGCCAAAATGAGTTTAGAATAGTACAAAGTATATGATTAACCAATAGTTAACGTCGATTTTGTAATATAAGCGTGAGCACACCTGAACCCGTGGGGGGAATATAAAAGGCCAGGAAAAAAATAAAATAAATAAAAACAAAAAAGTTAGTAAGGTGTCCTGAGCGAGGACAAAAAAAGAACACGATATACCATATGCAGAGAACATTATGTCATTGAGGATATACTTACAAAGTATATGACCTTATATGATTAGCCAATAGTTAACGTCGATTTTGGAATATAAGCAAGAGGATCTCTGAGGGTGGGCTACACTACATCACATTACACTGGAAGACACAGAAGAACAGAAGAATTCCACATGAAGAGAACTCTAACACGCCCACAAGAAAATAATTTGTTTATCCACCTGATAAGAAAGACTATTCTTATCTAACGCCTCTCAAGCCTGAGAGAGAAGCAGACACGAGGTGATATACTTTTAAGCTCAGCATTAACTAAGAACTATATACTTTGAACTATCTATTTGTATTGTATATTACACTTTTGCTATATCATTGTATGCTGTTGACTTTATGCTATACAATTAAAGTCACAAGTTTTTAATTCAACAACTGGACATTCTTTGATGAAGATTATAATCACCTTATGACGCTTAAATCGTAAGTGTCATCAAAGAAATATTTTCTAACACTTCCTTCTTACAAGCAGTGGTTCCTCTGCAGCGATCTGACACACCCCCTGCTGAGACAGATCTATAGATCTGCAATCAGCAAAGCTCCTGCTCCATAGCTGCTGGCAGGGGACAAGCTTTTCTACTCAGGCTGAGTACTCTGTCTGTTTTGAGCAAACCTTGTACTGGGAGATATATGTAGGATGTCTTTGCTGGACCTTTTGACAATGCTAGTTGCCTGGCTGCCTCTTCAATACTTTCTGAGTCACTGGCCTGGAACACGTACGCAGCCAATTAAGTCACAGTCATAAATCCTGATCTGCTTGCTTTTTGGATCTGTAACTGAAAAAGTATTGAAGCCACTGGATCATTATTACAGTCAGGTAGGTAACTAAAATTTTCAGAAGAAGAATTTAGCAATGGCAGCCTATCTATTTCTCTCACAGATTTCCTTTAAGGAAAATGTAACACTTAAATGAGAAGCGTTTGAAAATATGATAGGAGTGATTGAAGGGTGGAGTTTGGTGTGTTTCTGCCATGTGTATATTATATACATGGTACATGGTACCTTGAATTAGTGGGTGAATATTTGTACCACCTGGCAGGAAAATGCACATGCCACATTTGAAGAGGACATATAAGCCCACTGCCATATTTCTACTTTTAAGACGACATACCTTTAAATGCATAACTTGAGGCTGGCTTGTACTTTTCCATGTTGGCCACTAGATGTCCTAATAATCCTTCTATATACAGAAAGTCATTGTACTTCAGTTATGAAATACTCTAAATGCCTGTGGACACCTTGTATCATCTGTATTTTAAAATACATCTTATTATTTCATTTTCAATATATATAAGGTGCTCCCAAATCATCATTTTCCATAGGAAAGAATAGTATTGAAGAGCCTGACAATGTAAAAATACTCCACGCATAATCCTGTACTGTTTAAAATCATGCAAAGACGTGCTGCATTAAAAAGTCTGTCTAATAGGTTATTATAACCAAAGCAGACAAAATATGGAGCAGTTTTTAATGGCAACCAATCAGCTTCTATCATTTTCAAAGCTTAACAAACTAAAAGAAGAGAGATGCTTGGTTACCATGGTCAACTGCTCCAGATTCTGTTTGCTCCAGTTTTTATAAATGTACCCCAATGCTCTTTTCTATCTCTAAAAGGCTCCGGCAGTAAAAGTTTAGTGCTTTTGTTGCTGGCTTTGTTCTTGCCTTCTCTGCATTATGTTCTATAATATAAAATAAATAGGAAATCCAACTAAGGGATCTATCAATATAAACCCTATAATAACATTTTTGTTTTCAGGCAGTCTGTTTTTTTTAAAAATAGTTTAGCCAAAAACATTAACAGCAAAAAACACTAGGGGGGCTATTCACAAAGCTGCCGAAGGCAGCCGAGTGAATAACCCAGTCGAAGTGAAGTGCGCTGAACAATGTTCGGCTATTCACTCCGGCTCAGT